ATACTCGGCAGCAATGCGCTTTTGCTCAGCCTCTTCAGTCATCTTTTGTAGCTCTCGCCTCTTTGTTTCCTCCACTCGTTCCTTAAAAGAAATGGTCACAAAAGTTCATATGCGATAACAACAATAACAAGCAATTCACAACACCGCCAAGAATTTCATACCATTTCTAAGAGTAAACGCTCTTGCTCCTCTTTGCGTTTCTCAATAATGGACTTCCGGGCAAGAAGTCTCTTGTGCTCCTTCTCCACTATCTCCGCTAAATTAGACAGTGCTTCCCCAAGCTTGGCAGCCTTCTTTGCTGGGGGATAAATCATTGTCCTTGCCTTGCTAAGGGATTCAGCCAAAAGAGACAGATGATCCCGGAGTCCTTCCGCCTCAATACTCTGGAAACAAAATTATAAGCAAATGATGTATGATAAACTAACCTACACGGCTTAATTGGGGGGTGGGGGTGGGGGGGAATCAAAACCATGTAGTTCAAAGTGTCTCAAAGAAACAGTTACAAATTCTCCTGCATCAGTTCATCAACATATATACCACAGAGGTACCTCAATACTCTGGAAACAAAATTATGAGCAAATGATGTATGATAACCTAGCCTACACGGCTTAATGGGGAAAAATCAAAACCATGTAGTTCAAAGTGTCTCAAAGAAACAGCTACAAATTCTTCTGCATCAGTTCATCAACATATATACCACAGAGGAACAGGCTGAACTTACAAATCCATAAGAGTAAGATCAAATCCCACAACATAGAAACTGCTGAAAACAGCAACCCACTAAAACTCTTATATCTCAGAAACTAAGAACTGCACCTCAGAGTTCACAAGCTCCTTGTTCTAGTGACTGAACTACAAACTTATTATGCTAACCACACACCCTTAGAGAGCCCACTATTTTGCACAAAACATTAAAATCAAATACAAGAAATGTTGACCCTGCTTTAAATCTACTTTCTCCTTCAGGAAATACAAGTGTCTTTCTGTCATTTTGACCAAAAAAAAGTGTCTTTCTGTCATGCCTGGCAAAATTATGATAATAAAAATATCTCCATAGAAGAATTAGATAACAGAAGACACACAAGGTTCTGTAGATGCCATAAGCGAGCTATTCCTGTGCTTTCACTTACAATGAGGGAAAGAACAATGTGGTGAAAGAACAATGTTGATAATGCTGATAAAATCTCTCAGAACCAACTGACGAAGACACAGGAAAGTAATCTCTAGGGGCGCCCAACCGACACACAAACAAAAACTGAAGGATAGACAAGAGTTTTAATTCCAAGTGACACATTATACCTGTTTACCAAAGAAGACAGCGCCCTTCATGTGATCAACTTTGATAGCTAGAAAATTACGTCTAACCGCATCAACTGATATCTTCTCAATAACAGTGAAGTCAAAGAATGGGATCATCTTAGATATGTTATCAATCTGAATTGTCTGATACACCTGAGAGACCTGCAACAAGAAAAGGAACAAATAGCAGCATTCTCAGTTAAAATGAAGACAGAATTGAAAGTTGGACTTCCACCTTAAATAATGTGCATGCGTGCTCTTTATCAAAAGGTAAAAAACAGAGTGCATACCTGCTGGAGCAACCTCAGAGTAGCAAGTTTTTCCAAGGCAGGAACATACTGAGACAGTTGTACTTCAGGAACTGAGGAAACTGAAGACAGCTTACCGCCAAGCTTTGATATTTTGCTCAATACGGGCTGCACCTTCAGTGCCAGATCCAAAGGAAGAAACTCATTTTCTAACAGATGATAAAGATCTTTCACTTCTTGGGTGACACAAGACATCACACCTTTGGACACCTACAGAAGGAGAAACAATTAAGAAAAACCAAAGAAACCGACAAACAATTAAAAAATCAAGAGACTGAACGATTTCAAAAACAGTATGACATGTGCTCATCTTTGCCTCGAAAATTTAATGGGTTCATCGAATGCAAAGAGACAAGGAATTTAAACTATAAAAATGGAAAAAATTGAAGGACTATATGCTAAATTAAAAAAACATATATATAATTACTCACCAACTCTGAAAGAAGTGATGATCGGGAGAGCTGAAAAGGAGAAAAGGCAAGGGAACAGAAGCTGTTCAGCCAAAGCAAGAGATTAACAGTAAGGAAATAATTAAAATAATCAAAAATGAAATTACCGCTACTCTGTTTTCGGCTTTGGGTTCAACTTCAAAACCTATTAGATTGGCCACCCTCAAACTCCTCTCCTTCTCATTTTCAAGCTCAAGATGAGATGCACCATACGACTGATCATAAGGAGGCACAGAAAGTGCAGCTAGGACAACAGACGATGCTATTAACTGCAAATCCTTCTGGCTTAAATTTTTATTAAAACTCTTCTGAAGAGAGAAAAGCTTGAGCCATGCATAAGCATGATAAAGATGATTTGATGACATCCAAAATATCTCAGTAAGCTTCCCATAGTAAACAACCATCAATGACGCCTTGGGGGTTTTCTTAACCATGCACATCAATCCATATATGTCTTCTATGGAACGGAAAGCTTCCTGTTTCAAAGAAAACTAAAACATATGAAGTTCACTCCCATATAGGACAAAAGATATGCTAATAATCTATCAGAAAAAGTAATAACCTGCCAAAGACCCAGTTCGGTAGCAACTTTCAGTTGTTCAAATCTAGTGTCTAGATACAATTGCAGGCTCTCTGGAGCAGACAGATCAGGCCGGTCCCTCTGATCTCTATACTTGTTGAGATTTGCCAAATGATTCCGGATGATTTCACAAAGACGACGAAATTCTGTTGTACGTTTGTACTGCTTACAGAACTGAAAGGCTCGGTGTGCTGTCATCTGAGCAAAATAGGTTTGAAGCTTAATTCTCATTTCTTTCAGTGAAAAAATATATGCTCAACTAAAGATGGAAAGAGTACAGAACTTCCTATCAGCCACGCAGAAAGCTTAAATGGCATACAGGACAAATCAGGTTCTACCACACACAAAAAAAATTGTACCCGGATGATATATATAAACTTTTATCAAAAAGAATAGACTTATATTCTGACAAAACTGATACATGTATGAAACAAAGAACATGGACAGATGCCCAGCAAACTGAGAAAGACGCCCATGAAGATTATGAATAAGAAGTGAAAGGGATTGATTTACTAAGCAAAAAATCAGAAGCACAATCACTTCCCAGGCAAGCGAATTGAAAAGGAAAAAAGGATAAACCTGCTTACTCAATTACAGTCTAAACAAGCCTGAAGGTCATGATACTAAGATTCCTCACCTCAGAACATAAATGCAGTCTAATTATTCAAAAACCTAACGAAAAGAAAGAGCAATGGAAACTTACGGCATACAGAGCCTCCAATCTTGAGTTGTTACGCAAGATCTCCAGAACAGTTCTATATGTCTCCCACAAAAACTTAAACCAGGGAGTGACAAGCTCGCGATCAGATCTATCTTTTCCTTTCTCCCCACTAACATAACTCAACATAAGATCTTCAGGCCTTTTATCAGCTTCCAAGTCCTCCACATCCAGAGCTTCCTCCAACGCCTGTGCTTGATTGCGAGCCAGTTCAGCTCGCTCAGTAGCTAAATGCATGAAATGCTTTATCACCTCCTCTAAGGAGTTAATGTTCACTTGCTGACAGACTATACGATATTGAATTAGGCCATCCTTGGCAAACCTCCCCCTTCTCATGTCAACACATAGCTCTACATACTTGAACATTATCCTTTCAAGAGTTTTTTGCCATGCTCTATACCTCCTTGAAGTAATAAGATCATGAAGTGCTTGCAGCGCTTCTTGCTTTTGTCCAACAGTAATCAACTCTACATCAAAACATCAAATTAGTAAACATACCGACATTCTCAATTTTACTATTAAAACATCTGGAATTTACAAAACTTCACCCTCCCATAATATTAAAAATCATCTAGACCACCCTCACCCTGTGACCATATAACCCCTCCTAAATTGCAGATATTACTTGAGATATAAGTCTGCAAGTGTACAGAGTACATATTACCAGGGCACATCTCAAAATAAAGCTTTGAGAAGTTTACTGTAAAAGTAATTTGCTAAATCAGATCCAGATAGTAACTCCACTAACCTTCAGCACGCTTCAAAGCATTCTCAGGTTTGGCAAAAGTCGCCATTTCAAGAATCTTTCACCTGCAAAGGAATAGTTGGATGAGTCAAGAAGTTCATCAACAGGCAAGAACAAAAATGTTAAATCTAAACACTCGTAGTAAGACTTCAA